TTCGAGGTTCAAGTCAAGAAGTCCTTAGTAGCCTACGGTCAGAAAGTTGGCGTTTCAACCACGAGGCTCTATAACACGTAAAGTCGGTGGTCCTGCGCCTAATGTAGTACCTGTGGCTGTATAAAACTGAAAAGTCTTCTGCTGGACATGGGCCTGTATAGTGTGGTGTAACCCACTGCCCCATATCATCCCGTGGGTGTCGTAAGAGGCGACAGAGGAAAAATGAAACAGGAGATGGGCAGCATGCAGCATTTTCAGATAACAACGAAAAATAAATAAAAACTGCGGTTGCCAAACCGGCTGTCAAGCGTGGCAACTATGGTAAAATTCCCACTATGAGGCAATTTATGGAGGAGGCTATGTTCAGCAGTGAACTATTACACGCTCTGATGGATGGATGGACATAGGCCTCTTCTGTTGTAGGGAGGCAAATCCCTCAATCGTCTTAAACGACAAGCGCAGAACCAGACATCTCGCACCTATGACACCGCTGCCCGTCGCTGGTTTGGATATATTATCTCTAATAACTATATCTATGTTTACCCTAACATATTCATACGAAATTAAAATCTTGATTTCACTATTAGAAAAATTTTACCTAAATCACACAGGGCGAAGTCACCATCCGGTTTACATTCACTGGTGATTCCCTTCACCACTGATTAAATTTTGCTCGGACATTATTATAAAATAATACGTCGGAATCAAGTAATGTCTATTGTCTGTCCCTTATTTAGTTCTCGACACAAGGACACGACTTATAGGGTCATTCATTTTCGCACATTAATTTGAAGGCTTTAAAATTATTTCACCGCGAAAGATATTTGATCAACATTTTAAAATTTCCGATAATCGCTTCTAAATGTAATGTCTTTAATATCGACTGCACAAACACAAAAGCTTTAAATAAAGCTTTCAGGAATGAAAGTAAGTTTGAGCCTAGTCGTGGGATGTACATTGGCTGGTTTTTAAATTGTCTATAGTTTTAATATCACTGCTAAACATTAATTTACTAAACTGTCAGACCAAGGTTACAAAATGCTATTTTCAACTTACCGCAAAATCTTGAGATACCATTATCTACAAGTGCTCGTACCCGAACCCTTCAGTTTGCATCAACTGCAAAAAAATCGTATTACGAAACTGAAAGAAAGACGAGCTAGAGAAGCGCTTAAGATTCTCAGACAAGACTCTCAGCTTAAGTTTTATTCACACATATTTTTAGCCTCCGACGAAAACAGTTTGCAGTGTGTATGTGTGTCTGTCTGTGGCATCGTAGCTCCTGAACGGAAGAATCCATTTTGATTAAGTTATTTTTCGTATTAATCGAGAATGTTCTTAGCTATGTTTCAAGAAAATCTGTTTAGAAGTAAGAAGATTTATGATATAAGCTCTTTTTGTTTCGGTTTTTTTTTATTTAATTTTTAATGTTATCTATTAAGTGATATGTTTTACGTTCTAATTACAGGTACGTACGTTCCGTTCGTAGTATTTGTAAAAGAAAATTTTTAGTCATAATTTCATAGTGTTATTTCTTTAGTTTCCATAATATATGTAATGAAAGATACGCTTTCACCGACTTCTTGTTTTTATAGCTTATTGAATAACATTTTTAAGGTAAATACTTTTTATTACGTCTGTGTTACGTAACAAGGCAACGATTGCGATGGACTTGCACTTATAGTACGAGTCCTCATTATATCATTTATTTGTTTTACTTCAATAATAATCCGTATTTTCACGTAAATTTATATATATATATATATATATATATATATATATATATATATATATATATATATATATATATATATATATATATATATATATATATTTATATATATATCTTAATATATATAAATTGCGTGTCACGTTGTTTATCCGCGATGGACTCTTAAACTACTTAACTGATTTTAATAAAATTTGCGAAATGTGTGCAATTTATGTCAACTTGAGAGATAGGATAGTTTTTTTAAACCAAGAGTGACTCACAATTTTTTTTGCAAATTTAAGGATTTTTAATAGGTCATGATAAAGGGGCGTCTAAAAGCGTCTAAACGTCTGCCTGGCAAGCTAGTATATATATATATATCATTGTATAATATATTGCATATCTGTAGCATACTTTCATTTAAATGAAATTTTGATTTATATGTGGGCGACTCTGAATAGAAGGTTCTGAGATGACTGACGACCCTTTTAGTCCCGCGAAATTCCCGCTTTCAACGGCCCCCTCAATGTTTTATTGTGGATTTTTAATGGCGATCCTGCCTTGCTATAATATTTCATTGAATGTGTTACCTAAATCTTTCACTTACTTTTAGTTTTGAAATACATCGCCATATAATGTAAAGTATTTTTCGTATTTCGCGTTTTCAGGTATACTCAGTTAAAATATTTCTATAGCTTTTATTCTAAACAAAAAAAGCTATTGATAGCCTTTCACGTTAAATTCGCGATGGTGGATCTTTTCATAAATTAAAAATAAGTCATTCGTTTATCTATTAACTTAATTTCCTGTAGGGCTGCAGGCTCAAATCGAAAATTGCAGTTTAGAAATAACGCCAAGGATGCCCAAAAAGACAGAAATAAAAAATAAAAAAACATGTTGGTAACTAATAATGGGCGGGTCCATTATTACCGTTGCGCGCTGGTTTATAGGCGAGATGCAGTCTTAGATTTTATGTCAGAATTTACATCAGGAATACTTAAAAACCCAGTAATAATATAGACACAAAAAAGCAGTTGGACCTGACAGTCGGAAGCTACGTCCAATCGACATCATTTAAGACCAGCTACAAAATCTCAAACTATATCTTGCCTACAAAAACTGTGTATTACGGTCGCATGGATACGGGTTCTTGGTTTTTCTTTTTATTACTTTTAATACACTTTTTTCCAGCATGATATTTTAACCCATTTTTCAAATAATTCATTATTGATTTCATTTAGCTTACTACCAGCTTTATATAAAGTAAGAATGGACTTTTAACTAGTTTTAGTTTCAAAATCTCTTGAAATTGTTTATTTAGCAAGTAATTAGCAACTATTTAGCAAAATTCCCATTTTATTGGTTTCTGCTAAATTTTACTGTTAGCTTAATAGAGCTGTAACAATATAAGTCGAAGTAAATTAAAAATTACTAAGGTACTTACGTTAACGATTGAAACGATATTAAGAGAGAATTAATGGCCTCATTATCCATTCATTCATAAAATGCGGTAGGCCATTTGAACCTTAAAGATTTAAAAAAATTTAATGAGGTTTTTGACGTGTTATAAACATTAATTTTATATTTTTTTATGTTATTATAACCATTCATTGGCAGAGCCAGGCTGCAGTTATATTAGTAGTAGATATTGGATGTCAAACGAGCACACAGTCCACCTGATGGTAAGTGGATGCTGTGGACTATAAACATACACATTTAATCTCAATTAAGAATCAAAATGCAGATGCGTTTTCACCCCTGAGGACTAGGATGGAATGCCTCGTTTCCAGTAAACAAGGATCTCCGGATCTCTACACTCACCATACGAAACACAGCAGTATTATGCTCTGTAGCTATTTTACGCTGGTTTTCTGTGAGAGCGTGGTCCTTCCCCGGTCGAGCCGACCCATGCCTGCTACGTACAACCATAATATAGCTGCAGCGTGGCATTACCACGTACTGTTCCTTTAATAATAATTTTTAAGCATGATTTTGCCTGCATAATATAATTTTATACGTTAATAATCCCTTTGTAACACTGAAACCTACTCTACAGAAAGCTCTGTAGATAATTATTTTCATTTGTCATTGAATTTTCATTACCAGAGAGCGGCATCTGTGCAGCGTGCATTAATCCCCGCTGAAAGAGATCACCGTCTCTGCTTTATGCATATTTTATGACGTACAGAATTATTTTTATCTTTAAGTTTTAACATTATAAAGCGGACAAGTATTGTACAAATTTTAGTTATAAGTAAGGGTGTAAACGAGCAAACAATACACACCTGATGGTACGTTGATAATGCGGCCAATTGTTAGGTAATAGGTTTATATTCAAAATTCTGATGCATTGTCACTCTTGAGAACTTAGTAATAACTCCCCGTTACCCAAAAAAAGTTTTTATTAGTTCAATCACCATGACAAATACCTGCAGCAGAATTATGCTGCTATTCTTTTTAAACGAAGTTTTTCACAGGTCGGGCCGGCTCATTCGAACTGTTGTCATACTCTAACACGGCCCTAAAAGTTACAGCATATATACATCCCACTGCTGGCACAGACCTCCTCTCATTGTTTCTGAGAGTGTTTTAGGGCAAGGAAGTGTCTGCCGTGCTGCCCTAATGCGTGTTGGCAAACTTCACTTATCTTCAAAATATAATTTTTTTCTTATTTCTCAAACATGCAGGTTTCTTCACGATGTTTTTCTTTACCGCCGAGCACGTGGTAATAACAATTTCATTGGTGCCTGCGGGGATCGAACCCGGATTGCTCGCGTACTGTGATATTAACAGTGAGTGCAAACCATCTGAGCCACGGCTCTAACACGCATAAATAAGATGAGCCTTTTATTAAATATATCTAGAAATATGTACCTACAGTTTTCATAAGGCGAATTTCGGTTGAAAGTATAAATAATAATACTATTTATTCAACGCGGTCCTAATTTTATAACCGTATAGTTTTTATCAGGCGTAAAATTTATTTATTTATAATAAATTAAAATTTTATATAAAATACCCAAACCGACGAAGGAGAACTGTGTGGAAGGTAGCAAGAGACGTTTGGCACTAAAAATGATTTTTGTATTAATAAAAATATGATACGCGCGGAGCTTTTTCACTGTTTCTTCTCCGGTCAGGGGATCCTCATTTCGAAACGGTAGTAGATTTAAAAAAATAATTTGACAAAACAAATCCAATATTATTTTAAAAGAAGTAAACACTTTTAATTTTAAAGCGGTTGTTATTCCACCTGAAAAACGTGTCCATTATTGCAACCCTCCTGAAAATGGAAGAGGTACATCTCTTATTAGTTTGTGAGGTACATATTCAGCAGTGGACTTCTAAGGGCTTTTGATAAAATTTGATACGTTTCACTATTACTATTTTAACAATGAATAGTTTAATTTATTTTGTGAACGTATATTGGTGAATTTTGTTAGAGAGAGCAAGTTGAAGTAATAGTATTTCAGTCTCTCGTAAGTGTACAGGACCCTCAAGTTTCCGTAAGTTAATAAAAATACTTTACTCCCAATAAAGTAGGCAACGCCAGACATTGTATATGGTGCGTCTAGAGTGTACTGTAAGAATTGATAATAAAATATCAGTTTCTTTAGCGTGGTAGCAAAATTAAAATAAATCGAAATCCTTTTCGTCTCGTTTAACAAAAGCATATTGTGTAAATCACCCGAAATATTCTTGTGTTTTAAATATGAAACAACATCTTTTATTTACGTCTATTTTTTGGTTTGCACTGACTTGTAAGATGTACACTTGGAATACTTATTTGGAATTATATAGCAGTTTATTACAAATGCGATACAATATCAGCCTGTAAGCAATTTCCTGCAAACATTGGGCGATTTTATTGGCGCGATTTGTCGTCACACCACGTTAGGCTGTGGCATTGACAATTATAAAACCAGACTTATTAAGTCGTATTTTAGAAGTCACAAGATTTCTCGGGCTTCAATTATTGACTATCAATTAGTGCGCGGACAGTTGACGCGTGCTTGCCGCGCCTGGTGCGCGCGACAGGGTGCGTGCTAGCTGGAGCCCTTACTCCTGTTATATATTACGGGAAACTAAGTTTCGTACATCCTCTAGTATCTACGGACCGATCTTGTGATACAGTATAGAGAGATAGTGTGTCAGCATTAGCATAACCCCCTTAAAATTTCAGCGTTTCCATATCAACCGTGCCTGATACGAACAAAGAAGGATACAGGTGAGGATATTACCGGTATCGTTTCCTAAAGCACCATCGGCCAAACCTGTAGTATCTTCTCGACCATAAGGATATACTTGTCCTTAAATGGGTCTCAGACAACAGCACCATATTCCAGCTTGCTACGAATGCATTAAACAGTATTTTAGCCACTACTTCATTGTCAAATTGTGTTCCAGTCCTAGAAACAAAACCTTACATTCTATGTGCGTTCTTACAGATACTTGTCGTGTGTAGATGAAAGTCTAATTTGGAATTTATTAACAGCCCTAGGTATCGGATGTCATTTACTCTTTCCAGAGCGTCAAGTGAGCTATATAAATTTACGATTGGTCTAGGTTTTCGAGTGAAAGTAATTATTTTGCATTTATTATTATTTAAAGGCAACAGATTTTCTTGACTCCAATTCAATATATATTAAAGATTGCATAATTTATAATATAATATGTTGAATATATCTATAACATATAATATAATTATATAATATAGATTGCATAATCTGCCTCAGCATAGTTTATGGAAATTATCCAAACAGTATTTTGTACCATTCAAATAATTTTCTATATTATAATATAATAATGCAACCCTTCGTAGCCTATTAGCCTCTACGCTACGACTTGTCAAAATTTGTCGTTATTTCATCATCATCACCGCCATCACGATTACAGCCTTTCACAAGTTTACTGATAAACGTAAGCTTGACACACAAACACGGTCCTGAGCCACCCGTATCCATCATTCCTGTGACGATTACCAGGTGTTTTACTAATCGCTCCATCTAGAGGGGGCAGCCCTATACTTATACCATATTTAACGTAAAATAAATTCATTAATTAAATTCCTTTCAGCCCTCATAAATTACATATTTATTCACGAAAACCTGACATCGCAGTAGTGTATAAATTTGTTCTTTAATTTAAGTGTCTAATCTAATTTGTCAATTGTTGTAATTATTATATTCGCTGAATCTTATAAGATAATAAATGGTATTTGTACAAGCAAATATAATTTTTGCAAATAAACGGACACGAAGTCGGCTCTGCGTTGGCGAGAGCTAAAGCTCAAAATTACATTTTTATTGCTTTCTATCTAACCGTGGGAATGAGGTGATCCAAAGGATTTACTACAAATTTATTTCATTTTATATCGCTGCTTTTAAGCTGCAGACTTTTAAATTGAATGTATGAAAATTAGAAATAAACGGTTTTTGTGTCTTTTTAAATAAATACACACACCGACGTTGACTCAAATTCTTTTTGATTTTTTTGATCCATACGAAAAGACTTTAGTATATTCAATCATTCATAATAGTTAAAGTTTTATACATGGTAGAGCCATGCTACAGCTATATTATGATTGTAGCATGAATGGTTCGGCTCGACCGGGGAAGGACCACGCATTCACAGAATACCATCGTAAAATAGCAGCTTAATGTTGCTGTGTTTCGTATGGTGAGTGTAAAGAACCGGAGACCCGTTTTACAGGAATCGAGGCATTCCATCATAGTCTTCACGGGTGACAACGCATTTGCATTTTGATTCTAAATCAAGGTTAAATGTGTATGTCTATGGGCCATAGCACCCAATTACCATCAGGTGGACTGTGTGCTCGTTTGTCACCCTAATTCTATAAAAAACAAAAGTTCATTGCGGCTTGGGCATTGGGCTACTTCATCGATTGCTTCTTACAGCGGAATATTTGCCATAGTTGCCATGCTCAGCAAGTGGATTGGCAACAATAGTTTTTTATTATTATTTTGAGTTGCTATAAGGAAGTTGTTGCTGCCCATCCCTTGTTTTGTTTCCCTCTGCTACGCTATGGGATATTGAATTCTTGGACTAGTTTAAAGATATAAGTTTATATTTATTCTTATCAAATAAAAGTGACCTCAGAAAGATCAAAAACTTCATGTTGCATAATATTTAAAAAAAATGGTGCTTTGCGATTTTATTTTGCAAGGAGTACTTAACTTTTAAATTGTAACGAGAGATGGACAAGCTGTATCGATAGTAGCTTGAACGTAAACATTATTCGTAACACGGTGGTCAAAGAGTGCGATAAGCTATCGACTCGCATATTTATAGAAAGGTTACTAAGGGATGTGGGCACAGATCAGCCGTATATACGCCGCAGGGGTATTCTCATCCCGGTATCTTTTGCTTTTGTGTCGCTGTTGGTGAAACTATCATATTAAAGTATACGTAGGCTAATACTGCTATCTAACGAGACGATTTTATCGCTTACAATAATATTGCTTATTCAATTACCGTTCTTAAAATCAATTACGATTATATAACAGTTTTTTTAATTTATAAGAAGGTAATACACACATACACAGAATATAAATATAGAGCCGGCAAAAGGAAAATGAATAATAACGGCAACGTACACCAACCGAAGTAAAACGCTTAGTACTTATTAATTAGAGAGAGCACGGACAAAATACAAAAGAGTCTCGCGTCGGGCGGCGAATCTTTGACAGGGGTGCGAGGGCGCGGGTGAGGGTGAGGGGTGGCGCGCAGCGAGAGGCAGTCAGTGCCGCGCCGCGCCCGGCCGCGCGTCTCTCACGCGCGCCTTACGTAACCATGGCCGAGCCTGTGAGCTGATGGGTGCCCTCGTCTGGTGGCTGGCGGGCTGCTGCCTGGTGCACGCCGTCGCCGCCGGCAACCCCGACGCCAAGCGCCTCTACGACGACCTACTGTCCAACTACAACAAGCTCGTGCGACCGGTCGTAAATACTACCGATGTGCTACGCGTCTGCATCAAACTGAAACTCAGTCAGCTCATCGATGTCGTAAGTCCCAAAACTGACCTAATTAGTGTGCAATGCGAACGCATAGCTGGTTGCACTTGCGCGTCCTATTCGGAATTTAAAATAGACACGGCTTCAACGTCGACGGCACGCGACCCACTTTTTGTGGAACACCTCGGTTTAGCATAAATCTTGAGGAGTTGGGAATGGGAGATGAGTGTCGCAACCACTCGCCTATCATTTTGCCTTCCTTCCGAGGCGCCGCGCTCTCTTCTTAATTTAGAATGACGGCACTTGAGGGAGGGACACATTTTACTGAAATGTTACATAAAACCAAAAATAGCTTTTTAATATTATTTGTTTTTCTACCGGAAACGAATCATTTATACAAAGTACGTGGATGCAGTAGTATTATTATCTTTATTTTTGCAGCAGTATTATTTGTAATCAAATAACGCAGTTCTGTAAATAGTTTGATAAATACACAAAATTTATAAAGCGGAAAAATATACATCTTTCTTTCTAAGAAAAATGTATATGGTGCAATGCATATGAGACAATATTATTTCATACGCAAACACAGTTCCATTAGCAAATAGGTTTATAAAAGATAAAATTATAGTAACAAACAACTATCTTTATAACATGGAACTCTTCTGAATTATAATTTTCTTCGATTATAACGCTCTAAAGAGAGCATATTGAAAGTTTATTTATTTTAAAGACACTGGTGCTTTAAAAATGTGAAATAAGTTTAAAGGTACATACATAAAAAAGTTATAAAATAATTATTTTTAATTTTTTAAAACAAACTTGAAACCTGTCATCCATCGCTTTATTCATCATAAACCAAAAATGGTTGGTGATATATTATACATCGAAAGCCTTTCTTTAAGTCCGCATCTTCCGCACATTTTAAGTGCCAGCTTCGAGATATCCTTGAAATATTTGCCCACAATCACCACGCTGTAAGGGCGGGCGAGTGCATGCAGGACCGACTAACATGCGCTGGTAATGCACCTCGCTTCACAAGACTATGACTTTTAATTTAGCGGTTTGCGAGATGTTTCATTTTATTCTTCGTAACTCTCATCATGGGTGGCTCACTGTCCATGCGGTCGGAGCTAAGTTCTGCAAGACCCGCCGCAGAAGAACACAAAAACTCTCCGATCACACTCCTAATCTCATGGCTGTTAGACGAGAGATCAGGCTGTAATCATTAGCAGATTTGACAGCATACAGGCAACTGAACAGACAGATCTCCAAATGCATGCATGTATTGAAGAAGCGATCGAGCGGAACCGGGCTCTAAAGTCTTTGCCAGAGATCTGTCTGCCAGAAAGAGCCAACTGTCAAAGCTGAAGACTAAGTGTGGCAGCATCGTTTCCGGGACACCTGAGATTTTTAGTGAAATTGAGAGGTTCTATGGGCAGCTTTGCACATCATCGTTGGAGCCACACGCAAGTGTGAGTAACGATTCAAAAGCAAGTCTTAACCGACACTATTCCGATGATATCTCGGATATCAGTCTGAGCGAGATTAGAATGGCTCTCCAGTACCTTAAAAACGGCAAGGCCCGATTTCCGTTCTGAGCCGCATCTACGTGCTGATTTTGAGGGTCATTACGAATCGTCTCTCATGCAGACTCGACGACTACCAGCCTCCCGAATAAGCCGGTTTCCGAAAAGGCTTCAGTACCATGGACCACAAACATACCGTGCGGAAAATTCAACGGAAGTCCTCTCTGGACTTCTGATTGTACAGAATACTGAAGAGTACAGTCTGCCAATTTGCCTGGCGTATGCGGACTATGTTAAAGCCTTTGATTCCGTCAAAATTTGGGCGGTGCTACCTTCAGTTCTTTCAGTGGTGCCAAGTAGACTGTCGGTATATCCAAGTGCTGAAGTGTTTTTACAATAGGGCTAAGATGGCTATCCGAGTACAGAACCGGAGTTCGAAACCTATCCAACTGCAGAGAGGTGTAAGACAGGGTGACGTTATATCCCCGAAACTCTTCACCGCTGCATTGGAAGACGTTTTCAAGCTATTGGACTGGAAAGGATACGGTATCAACATCAATGGCAAGTACATCACTCACCTTCGATTTGCCGACGATATAGTCCTTATGGCAGAATCGCTGCAGGACCTAAGCACTATGCTCAATCACCTCAATGGTGCCTCCCAATGGATAGGTCTTAAGATGAATATGGACAAAATTAAGATCATGTTTATTGTCCATGTCACACCTATGCCGGTAGTGGTTGGGTGCACTTTGCTCGAAGTTGATGTAAAGTACGTTCAAGTGATTATCATCATCATTACAGCCCTGCTGAGCCGAGCTGTATGGCCATAGGATTTATATATATATATATATATATATATATATATATATATATATATATATATATATATATTATTTATATACATTGTATAATATTTGTCATAGGTGCTACGCTAGGCCTGTTGACAAGCACAGTTTATTTTAATTTTGATTTGTTATTAAGCACTTTCATAACTTATAGAAAAAAATTAAAAAGTTAATAATTAAAAAAAATAAAAACTGTTGCTATTAGCATTAGTAATATTTCTAATAACCCCATCAAGTGAGCTTAAAATGTCTGTGTGCCTGTTGATGGTTCAAATTAGTCAATAATTGAAGGCCGAAATATCTTGTGACCTCTAAAATACGACTTAATAAGTCTGGTCTTATGATTGTCAATGCGACAGCCTAACGTGGTGTGACGACAAATCGCGCCAATAAAATCGCCCAATGTTTACAGAAAATTGCTTACAGGCTGATATTGTATCGCATTTGTAATAAACTGCTATATAATTCCAAATAAGTATTCCAAGTGTACATCTTACAAGTCAGTGAAAACCAAAAAAATAGACGTAAATAAAAGATGTTGTTTCATATTTAAAACACAAGCAATATTTCGCGTGATTTACACAATATGCTTTTGTTAAACGAGACGAAAAGGATTTCGATTTATTTTTTTGCTACCATGCTAAAGAAACTAATATTTTATAGCCAATTCTTACAGTACACTCTCGGCGCACCATATACAATGTCTAGCGTTGTCTACTTTATTGGGAGTAAAGTATTTTTATTGACTTACGGCAACTTGAGGGTTCTGTACACTTACGAGAGACTGAAATAGTGAAATACTATTACTTCATTAATCTCTCTTACAAAAATCACAACATACGTTGACAAAATAAATTAAACTATTCATTATTAAAATAGTAATAGCGAAACGAAATTTTATCAAAAGCCTTAGAAGTCCATTGCAATAATGGACATGTTTTTCAGGTGGAATGATAACCGCTGTGAAATTAAGGATCCTCTGACCGGAGAAGGAACAGTAAAAGAAACTCCGCACATGATACGTGCGGAGTTTATTTTTTACTTTTGTAATATTTGGTACCAGACGTTTCTTACTACCTTCGTCACTGTTCTCCGTCGTTGATTTGGGTATTTTAAATATAATTTTAATTTATTATGAATATGAATAAATTTTACACCTGACAAAAACTATATGGTTATATGAGCTTATAATTTAAGACGGCTTTCAACAAAATTCGTCTTATGAAAACTATACATACGAGGGCGGCACTGAAAATTTCGTGAATTAAGGAAGTGACACAACATTACTATTTAAAAATGTATTTATTGCTTTTCGAAGTATTCTCCGCGAAATTTGACACATTTTTCCATACGATGGAACCGGAAGTTGGGGTCTCCAAAATGGCCGGTTTAAAGGCGTCCACAGCTTCTTCAGGTGATGAAAATCTCTGTCCACGCAATTTATTCTTTATTTAAGGGAAAGTATAGAAATCATTAGGGCTTAGGTCGGGGCTATACGGCGGATGGTCTAATAATTCTATGTTTTCTTGCTCTAAAAACTCTTTTGTTCTGTGTGCGGTGTGAGAACGCGCATTGTCGCGATGGAGGATGATGCGGCGGTTGCAGTTCTCTTTACGGAGTTCAGAAACGACCTGTGGCAAACAAATGCTAGCATACCATTTTGCATTAACCGTTATTTGTCCTTCAAGAGGAATAGTCGTAACATGGCCGGTTTTGGAGACAAATGTGGCCACCATTTTTTTTGCAACACTCCGTGAACGAACAATTTTTGTTGGCTTTAACTCATTTTCGAACACCCAAACTCGTGACTGGTTTTTTGTTTCGGGTTCGTACGCATATATCCAGGATTTGTCACCTGATACGATGTTGTATACAGCATTTGAGGATCCTGCGTTGAATCTTTCGAGAGTTCTGACGCACCAAGTAACGCGAGCCGGTTTTTGCTCTTCACAGAGCGAATCCGGTATCCATCAGGAAAACAATTTTTTTACACCTAATTGTTCATGCAAGATTATTTATATTTGACTCATGCCAATGTCTAAAGTTGCCTGAATTTCGCGGTATCTCACATGTCAATCTTCCTTAATCAGCTTACGCACAGCATCAACGTTTTCTTGGGTGACTGCAGTTTTTGGACTACCTTGACGGGGATCATCACTGAGCTTGACACGTCCACGTTGAAATTCAGCAAACCAGCGATAAATTGTGGTTTTGGATGGGGCTTCATCACCAAATGTAGAAATTATCCGGTCAACACACTGTTTTTGTGTTAAACCACTTCGAAACTCATAATAAATCATCGCTCTTGAATTTTCTCGAGCCAATTCCATTTTCTCAACGATGGTATTCGATTTTAAAAAACCAAGGAGTTTTCCATTTAAAAGATTTTAATATGACAGGAACATAATATTCCATTCGCGATACTTTTAGTGCAGCCTAGGTATTTCTAGATATATTTAATAAAAGGCTCATCTTATTTTATGCGTTTAAGAGCCCTGGCTCAGATGGTTAGCGCTGACTGTAAATTTCACTGATTGAATTTGACTGATTGATTTGTGATTGAACTAATAAGAACTGGAGACCCTTTTTATTGGTAACGGGGAGTTATTACTTAGTTGTCAAGAGTGACAATGCATCAGAATTTTGAATATAAACCTATTACCGTACGTCATAA